TGGTGTGCTGAGTTGTGCCCATCAGGGCTTTGGTCACGTATCTGTCTACCTACTAGGTTAATGTCAACATGCTGATGGTCTTTTTTTGCTGACATCTAGGGGCTTATGTCTAACTGCCCTTTGCCCGTGATATTGACAAATGCTTTGTGGTTAATTGCCTTATTTTAGGACATTTTATGGAAGTCATTTCTGCAAAGGCTGCAAAGCAGAATGCTAGTGCGGTCCTGTCTAAGCTGCAAAGCAGGATATTAGTGCTGTTTTATTTTAGCTGTCCTGACTCCATATTTTCTTGTTGGGGACCCTGGCCCTGACTACGTAACTGTCCATCTAACTCCTAACACAGGGAACACTGTTTGTACCAGGACAACCTACATGAAGAACACGGTTGATGGAGCCAGGAATTTACTCTTGATTTAAGTCAAGTATATCAGTTTAAGTATATCAGACTCTCCCCACCCAGGGTTTGGGAATTATGACTCACAGACTTCCACTCAGTCCTTGCAGAGTTTATGAAAACTTGGAGCTGCGATGTGACCATCTTTTGCCATGGGAAGGGAGAAGCAGACAAAATCAGGGCAAGTGTGAAATGCAGGTTCCAAGGATAAAGAAACAGCAAACATGAAGCCCACCGGCAAGAACATGCTAGGTGTGTTCAAGGGGCAGAAAGGAGGCCAGCCACAGTGGCGATGGTAGGAGATGGGGTTGGGGGGGGATCCTGCAAAACCTGGTTCACACACCATAAGGAGAGTGAGTGTGTATTCTAAGTGGCAAGAGGAAACCAAAGGAGAAGGGGGTGTTTAAGCAGGAAAATGACAAGATCAACTTCCTTTTTGAGAAGTTGGCTTTGACTGCTGTGTGGACAATGTTTGGACAAGGCAGGGAGATAGTCAGGAAGCAGTCCTTGCCTTGGGGGAAGCAGTGGTGCTTGGGGTAGATGATCTGCTGGGGGATGGTGGGAAGGAGGAAACAGAAGTGATTCCACTCCGCCTCTTAGGGAAAAACATGGCTGTTTTCTCCATAAAATGAGGTTTAGAGGCTCCCATTGTCTTCTTAGGAATGATGAAGGTTAAGTGAAGTAATGCATGATAAAGTGTTGGTACAAAGTAATTTTTCAATAAGCAGTAGCTGTTGTTGTTATTATTATTATTACCACTATTATTCCCCTAATAATAAAAAAGAGCCCTCACAGAGCCACACTACGTTCTAGTGTGGAAAATAGATAAAACAAGTAGTAAAAATAAAGCGCTGAAACTGAGAAAGGAGATGGGGGCGCTGTTGCAAGACATGTGCCTTCCCTTGAAATAAAAGCAATTAAGGGAATCAAGGATTTCATTCTTGTTGTTTTCTGTCTTACTGGGCATCCTTCTGTCTGAATTTACTTCTCTAACTGACAGGCTTCTTCCTCTTTTACTTCTTTCCAACAGGAGATTTTTATGATCTTTTCCCAAAGAACTACCCTATTTCTTTTCTTTTTTTTTTTTTTTTTAAGATTTCATTTATTTATTTGAGAGAGAGTGAGCGAGAGAGAGCACAAGTGGGAGGTGGGGAGAAGCAGAGGGAGTGGGAGAAGCAGACTCCCTCCTGAGCAGGGAGCCCCTGGGACCATGACCTGAGGCGAAGGCAGATGCTTAACAGACTGAGCCACCCAGGCGCCCCAGAACCACCCTATTTCTACTCCTGTAAAATTAGTCCTCTGCTGGGAGGAAGGAGTCTCCTTCAGGAGCCTGGGTTCATTCCCTCACCATGGAGAGAATCTAAGGTCCTACCTAGCCCAGGATGCAGACCCAAACCAGGGCCAGGTGCCAGATGAGACCATCAGGAAGAAGATTCGCACCTGGGGTTCTGAGCATCTTCTCTAAGGTCACCCCATCCCCTTTATGCCATTGGGTTCTGCCATCCCCTTCTGGATCTGTAGGCTGGGACTGGGGACTGGGAGGTGGCCTCTCATGAGCAAGGGGATGAGGGGATGAGGGAGGCACTGCCTCATGATAGAAATAGCCATCATATGTCAACACTCCACAAACTTTAAAGGTAATTTTAAAAAATACAAACACAGGGGCGCCTGGGTGGCTCAGTCGTTAAGCGTCTGCCTTCAGCTCGGGTCACGATCCCAGGGTCCTGGGATCGAGCCCCACATCAGGCTCCCTGCTCCGCGGGAAGCCTGCTTCTCCCTCTGCCCACTCCCCCTGCTTGTGTTCCCTCTCTCACTGTGTCTCTCTCTGTCAGATAAATAAATAAAATCTTTAAAAAAAAATAAAAATACAAAATACAAACACATACATATAGGTAATACCATCTACGCAGTACAAAAAAAAAGATAATCATTAAATACCCCCCACTCTTGTTTAGAGATAGTCTATGCATTTACAGACATAAACTTTTTTTACCCAAATGGTAGCTTACCTAATACACTTCTTCTGCATCTTGCTTTTGTCAATTATATACCTCTCCATGCAGAATTTCCTATATGTCTATTTATAGAGCTATATAATAGCTGGACATAGGTGTCAAAATTTATTTAACCAGCCTCCTACATACAGAGATTTAGACTGCTTCCTGTCTTTTGCTATTATAAACAGCATTGCAAAGAATATCCTTGTACAAATGTCATTGCTTATGGTGCAGAATTTTAAATTTTTATGTCGTTGGATTTATCATGCTTCTTTGGCTTCTGGGTTTGGGTCAAACTCAGTAAGGCCTTCCCCTCGGTGATACTTTTTTTTTTTAAAGATTTTATTTATTTGACAGAGAGAGAGCAAGAGAGGGAGAGGGAGAAGCAAACTCCCTGCTGAGCAGGGGGCCTGACAAGGGACTCGATCCCAGGACCCTGGGATCATGACCTGAGCCAAAGCAGACGCTTACCCGACTGAGCCACCAAGGCACCCCCCCCTTTTTAAAAATATTTTATTTATTTGTCAGAGAGAGAGCACAAGCGGGGGAGCGGCAGACAGAGGGAGAAGCAGGCTCCCTGCTGAGCAAGGAGCCCAATGTAGGACTCAATCCCATGACCCTGAGATCATGACCTGAGCTGAAGGCAGACGCTAAACCCACTGGGCCATCCAGGCATCCTCGGTGATCCTTTTAAAAAAAAAACAACTTCATTTTTCTTTTTTTAGTACCTCTATGATATTACTTTTTCATTTATATCTCTCTCAAATAAATAAAATCTTTAAAAAATCATATCTTTGGATTTTCTTTTGTGTAAGTATGATATTGGCATCCAGGTTAGGATTCCCCCTGCTCCCCCAAACGTTCTGCCAGGCATTTCAGGTGAGTATTCTCACTACAGACCAGGACCTAGTAATATATCCTCATTTTACAGGTGGAAAAAACAGAGGCTCAGAGAGGTAGAGGCATGTGGTCCAGCTCACTCAGGGAATAATAGGAAACTAGGTTCAAAAGGGAAACCCAGTGACCCCACCCTTAACTACAGTAAAAATAGTCTTTATTTTGAGCCAAGCAATTAGTGTAAAATAAATAAATAAAATTTCTATTTTGGAACAGTTTTGGAGTTACAGAAAATAGCCCAGGGAGTACAGAGTTTCGTACAGAGAGAACGTACATAGTTTCCATACACCCCAGACTCGGTTTCTCTGATTACTACTATCTTATCTCACTACGATACATTTTTCACAATAGATGAACCAATACTGACACATTCTTATTATCTAAAGTTCATCCTTTACTCAGATTTGCTTAGGTGCTCCTTTATTTTTTTTAAGATTTTATTTATTTATTTGACAGAGAGAAACACAGTGAGAGAAGGAACACAAGCAGGCTTCCTGCTGAGCAGGGAGCTGGATGTGGGGCTCCATCCCAGGACGCTGAGCCACCCAGGCGCCCCAGTAGGTGCTCCTTTTTTTCATTCCACGTCCCTACCCTTCCCCATCCCAGCTACACTTACAGGGGTCATGTCTCCCCAGGTTCTTCTTAGCTGTTCACAGTTTCTCAGACTCACCCTGTTTTTTGATGAACTTGACAATTGGGGGGAGGAGTAACCAGGTATCCTGTTAGAATGTCTCACGTGTGGGGTTTGTCTGTTTTATGATTGGACTAGGGTGACAGGTTTTGGGGACAGAGACCCCACAGGTAGTGTAATTCTCATCACATCATACCAGGAGTGCATACCATCAACGTGACTTATCATTATGGGTGTTGACCTTGAATGTCTGTCTGAGAAAGTGTTTGCCAAGCATTACCCAGGTAAAGTTACTTGCCCTTCCACCCATACTGCCCTGTTTGGGAGGAAATCACAGTGTGCAGCCCCCCATTTAGAGTGGAGAGTTAGGCTCCACTTCCTTGAAGAATCTATATATAAATTATCCGGAATCCTGCACAGGAGATTTATCTACACTTCCTCATTTATTTATTTAATTTGACAATTACTTATATACAATGCACATAGAACTACATTTACTTAATCATTTTACATTTATTTATACTTGGCAATTACTTTCAATTTTGTTTGAAACTGGCCACGGATAGATGTCTAGCGATGAAACATGAATATGGTGTGAAATTTATAACACAAACTCATTTGATGGTGACATCCTCCCTTGCACCGCACTGAGCCTCCCAGCTCCCCACCCGCATTTACAAACATGTACAAATACTCTCCCCCCACCCAACTGTTTGGACCCAAATGGTAACTTTCTAGATACACTTGTTCAGAGCCCCGGTTATTTTTATTAATAACCCTTCTTAAATTTAGTAAGACATCCGGGAGGTCGCCCCTTCTCTCGGCCGCTGGGTGGAGCCTTCCGGGGCCTGCGCTCGGATCCCTGCTCCCACCGCCCGCCGCACTCCCACCCGGCGCCTGGGCCCCCGGGGGTCCGGCGGCGGCGCGCGGGGAAAGGGCCGCCTCGGCGCCGCGCCCCGCCCCGCCCCGGCCTCTGTGACGTCCGCGCCGGAACCTGGAATTTCGGCTCCGGGAGCTGGCGGCGGCGGCGGCGTTCGGAGCGGGTCTCCGGTGGCCTGTCGGGGGCGCGGGGCGCAGCCATGAGCGAGTCCAGTGCCAGTGCGCTCCCGCCAGGCAGGCGCAGCAGGCAGCCCTTCATCCACCCAGGTAGGGCGGCCGGGACCGCGCTCCCGGCGGCCGCCGGGCGAGCTGCCCGGGGCTTGGAGCGGGCCCAGCCCCTGGCCACCTGCCCGCGCCGGGCGCTCCTGGCTTTGGGGGAAAGCGGATCTCTCTTTCTCCTGCTCTCCCTTCTGCAACCCATCCTTGCCCAATTCCGAGGGTGCATGCCCTCTCCCAAAGAAGCATCAGAGTGGGAGTCCCGACCGTGTGGTGCCTTCCCGTTACTGTTCTAGGGATCTCTTATCTGTTAACTGAAAAAGAGTGTGAGAGCCCTGCCAGCCCTACCATTCTGCCACGAGGTGCCTGCCTCCCAGACATTTCAGGCTTTACAGTTAGACAGACTTGGAAAAGAATTCTGCCTGGGCTGTTTATTGCTGTGTGATCTTTGGTGAGTGGCTGGCCTTCTCTGAGCCTCCGATTCTTCAGCAGTAAAATGGGACGAGGGTGGTGGTGGGATCAGTTGAGAGAAAAATTTGTGAAGTGCCCACCACACGCCTGGTACATAGAAAGGCACAAAAAATGGTCGCCAGCCAAGTGTTAAAATCTGTCCTTTTTTACTGAGTGAAACTTAAGAGTGACGTGTAAACTCTGTGAATTTTTACATAAACATGTACAACTGCCATCCAGTCGAGACAGAAGAGTTACCAGCACCTAGACGGGCTTCCTTACAGCATTCCCATCTTACATTTGCCCTTTAACAAAACACAAGACCCTGCTGTGAGTTTTATAAGCAGCGTTTCCTCTATTTCAATTTGAGAATAGAAGTTTTGTTACAAGGAATTACAGTAAACCATGACTGTAGATTTGGGCATTGGGCCCTGCTGATTGGATTGTTCTCTACATCTAGAAGGAGAAAAGAAGAAGAAAGACATCTAGAGAGATCCAAACCCTGGGAACTTGCTCAGGAATCAGAAAACAGAAGTCAAGTTCCGTTCGATGCTAATTATTTTCTAGCTCATTATTAATAGTGCTGGTGTCAGCTCAACTTCAGCCTTTCAATGATAGCCATTCAAGTATTTTCCTAGTTGGTTTCCATTTATCTTCCTCTTATTTTAGCACAATCCATCACATTTAAGATGCTGACCCTGGTTTCCCTACAGAGGGCATGATAACATTCATCTAGCTTGGATCTTTGCTGGGTTTTAAAGGAGACTCTCTAAGCATCTTTTTTAGAAGTGTCTTAACTGACTCCTCTGACTAAAAGGTCTTCCCTGTCTCTTGCACAAATGATGCTTTATGAACTTGTATCCACCAGCATGGCTGGGAGGCTCGGAAGGGACCGCGTTTGTAACTTTGTTGTACTTTGTAAATGGTGGCCTGCTGTATGGACATCACGGGAGGACAGTTGGAATCAGGCAGTAGACAAAGGGGTTCTGGTTTACAGATTGGGAAATATGCATCCTTCTAAATGATAAAACAGATCATATTGTTCCCCTTCTTAAATTAAAACTTCCCAGTGGTTTCTCATTGTGCTCAGACTAAACTCCAGGCTTTAATGTGGTGCCTGGTAAGGCCTGGTGATTCCATCCCAGCCCACCTTTCTAGACCCTCATCACTTACGACTCTCCCTTAACCTGTCCAGTTCCAGCTACCCTTGGCTGCTTTTCCATTCCTCCAACATACAGTTACTGCCTCAGGGCCTTTGCACCAGCTGTTCTCTTTGCCTGGACTACCTATCTCTTTGATCTTCTTATGGCAGCTTCTTCCTCCTCCTGTCAGATCTCTGCTCAAATGTCACCTCAGAAATGCAGATCTCTGGAGCCCCCTTGTCTGAAGAAGCACCCCTAGCTCTCTTCCCCTGACTAGTTTCCTTGCTTATTTCTTCAAAGCACTTACCACCATCTGAAGTCATCTGGTTTGATTGTTTTCTTGTCTATTAGCTGTCTCTCCTTCTAGAATGTAGGTGCCATGAAAAGCAGGGACTTTGTCTTCTCCTAGGACCTAGAACGGTGTCTGGCACTTAGTAGATGATAAATATGTGTTGAATGAATGAATGAATGGGTGAATGAAGTATACCTGAAGCCACACTGACAGCTATGGTGTAGAGGTTGAGAATCCAGACTCTGGATTCCCAGATGCAAATCCTCATCTTCCATGCCCTGGTCTTTAGGCAAAGCACTTCAATGCTTTGTGCGTCAGTTTCCTTATGTGTTAAATGAAAGTCATGATAGTATCTACTTCAAGGGCTCAGTGTAAGGATTAAGAGAGTTAACCCCAAAAAACTTGGTAAGTACTTATATTAGTTATCTATGCTGTGTAACAAATTATCTGCAAACTTAGAGGCTTAGAACAGTGATAATCACTTCTTATCTTACAGTTTTTGCAAGTCAGGAATTTGGGGATGACCCCTCTGGTTCTTGCTCAGGGTCTCTTACAAGGTTGGATTCATGATGTGGGCCAGGGATGCAGTCCTCTGAAAGCTTGCCTGGGGCCGCGGATCCCTTCCAAAGATGAGTTGCTCATAGGGATGACAAATTGACATTGGCTTTTGGTAGGAAGCCTCTCCATGTGGGCCTTGCAGAGGCTGCTTGAGTGCCCCATGGACATGGCTTTCCCTGGAGCATGTGATCCAGGAGAGAGTTTAGAAGAAGCCGTAATGTCTTTTATCATCTGCTCATGGAGAGCACACCTTGTTATTTCTGCAGTATCTTATTGGTCACATGGGTCACCCTGTTCAGTGTAGGGTGTGAATGTCAGGGCATTTAGGGGGAGAGGATCACGGGGAGCCACCCTGGAGACTGGCTGCCATAGCACCATGTGTTAACTGTTGTTATTAACATCCCTGTTCCCTACTAGATGATAAGCCCCAGGAGAACAAGGGCTGGGCCTGTTTGGCTCACCATCATGTCCCCAGGCTTGTACAGTGCTTGGTGCATAGTAGGCCTTCAGTAAATATTAATTGGGTAGATGCCTTTCATGATTTGGCCCCATGATACTTCTTGAGTCTGTGAAGCCCCTTATGTTCCCTTTGCCATGGGTGCCGTTCATTACCTTATTCCATTATAAGGCATACTCCTCCTCTTTCAATCCGGCATTACGTCCTCTCTGGAAGCCTTCCCTGACTGCCTCCCCTCTCGCAAGCTGGACTCTCTGTCCCTGCTCCATGTCCACATGGCCCACTGGCCTCACCCTGTCCAAGTATCCATTGAGCTGTATTCTTGCTTCTCTTGGGTTATATCATTTTTAAGAGCAGGGATTTTAGAATGGAACAGACCTAAGTTCAGACAGTGATTTGCCTCAGTTTCCACCACTATAAGTGAGGTTCTGACAGGAGTAAAAGCTGGAAGACCACCTTCTGGGGCCTCTCTGAGCCGGCCCCTGGCTACCTCTCCTGAGCCCTGCTGCTTTCCCTTGCCCCCCAGGCCCCAGCTACCCACTGGTCCCTTCCAGTGTGTTCTCCTCCTCAGGTCTTGCAGTCACTATTCCTCTGCCTGATCTCAGCTTGAATGTCACCTCCTCCAAGAGGCAAAGACCCCGCCCTATCTCAGGCACCCCCCAGGAGGCATTTGCCCACCCCCAGGCCCCTCAGCCCCATGGTTCCTGGCATGTTCTATGTTTACTGCATGGAATGACTCTTGGTGGCTTTTCCCGTTTACCAAACGTTTATCATATTCCATTCGGTAAATTCTTCATCCTAGATCATCATCAACTAGCTTGTAGTCAGTGACTTTTAAATTGAGGCATGATTCACATAACAAAATCAACCACTTGGAAGTGTCCCCTTTGGGGGTGAGGAAAGGACATTTTCCTTTCCAAGACCTGTGCCCATTAAGTATCACTCCCTGATTCCCCCCCTCTGCCCAGCCCCTGGCTACCACCAATCTGTATTCCTTCTCTATGGCTGTACCTATTTCAGACACTGCATATAAATGGGCTCATACAATAGCATGACCATTTGTGACCGACTTCTTCGCTTAGCGTAAATAATGTTTTCGAGGCTCGTCCATGTTGTAGCCTGTATCAGTACTTCATTCCTTTGTATGGCTGAATAGTATTCCGTTGTATGGTTATCCCACCATCTGTATATCCATTCTTCCATTGATGGACATTTGGATTGTTTCCATCTTTTGACTATTAGGAAAAATGCTGGGGCGCCTGGGTGGCTCAGTCATTAAGCGTCTGCCTTCGGCTCAGGTCATGATCCCAGGGTCCTGGGATTGAGTCCCACATCGGGCTCCTTGCTCAGCGGGAAGCCTGCTTCTCCCTCTCCCACTCCCCCTGCTTGTGTTCCCTCTCTCACTGTGTCTCTCTCTGTCAAATAAATAAATAAATAATCAAAAAAAGAAAAAAAGAAAAATGCTACTGTGAGCACTTGGGTACAAGTGTTTGACTGAACATCTGTTTTCAGCTCTTTTGGGTATATACTTAGGAGTGGAGTCACTGGATCCTGTGGTCATTCTGTACTTAACTTTTCAAGGACTGGCCAAACTCAGGGACTCTTAACCCTTATGTGAGGGTTTGCTGTGACCATTATCCCATTGTTCATCGGGGGAACCCAAGTGACTCAACCAAGATGGACTGATTGTCATTATGTCGCGGCCGGACAGGTTGCAACTTATGCAATGGCTTCAGAACCACTCGCCTCTCCTCTCTCCTCGTCAAGGGGCAGCACTTGGGGGAGGGTGACTGTATTTGCATTGACCCCATTTTCCACCGGGTGGGACTCGGTCCGGGCCTTTGGAGCAGGAACACTTGGAAGGGTAAAGGAAGGGTAAAGGGATAAAACTAAACAGCCTCTTTAGACTCCTTCTCTTGGGGGGGATGGCTGGGACCTGGTTTGTTTTTTGTTTTTGTTCTGTTTTAAGGTAAATAAAGAAGCATCTGACAGTTTTTATTAAACCTGCCCAGCCCGTGTACAAATTCCCAGTGTGGCTGATTACCAGGTGTGTCACCTTGAGCAAGTCCTGTTACCCCTCTGACCTTCTGTTTTCTTCTCTGAAATGGGGATAATCATACCCCTATCTAGGGTTGCTGAGAGGATTTTGTTG